ACCAATTAATTAACAAGGCAAATGATTTCGAGTGGTTTTCGTTAGCTCTTGATGAGTCGACAGACATTACAGATACTGCTCAATTGCTGCTGTTTATTCGAGGAGTCAATGCTGACTTTGAAGTGACTGAAGAATTAGCTTCTGTGAATAGTCTGCGTGGAACAACTACAGGTGAAGACATTTTCAAGGAAGTTGAGGAAATGTTAACGAAATACAGTCTGAAGTGGAATCAGCTAAAATGTGTGACAACTGATGATGGTAAAAATATGTCTGGAACAGGTAAAGGCTTAGTTGGAAGCATTTACACAGCTTGTGAAAATGCAAGGTGTACAAGGTCTATGGTTATTCATTGTATCATTCACCAGCATGTACTTTGCGGCAAATATCTTAATCTGTCGTGTGTTTTAGAACCAGTCGTGTCAACGGTGAACTTCATTCGTTCTCGTGGGCTGAACCATCGTCAGTTCCGTGATTTTCTGTCAGAAGTGGAAGCCGAATATCCTGACTTACCCTACCACACAGCAGTTTGATGGCTCAGCAGTGGTCAAGTTTTATTAAGATTTTTTGAACTCAGAGCAGAGATTGAAATTTTTCTCAATGAGAAAAAATGCCCTCAACCACTATTATCGAACACTGAATGGCTTTGGAAATTAGCTTTTGCTGCTGATATCATGGGATTTCTTAATGGATTCAACTGGAAGCTACAAGGCAAAACAGTGCTAATATGTGAAACTTATACTGCGGTAAAATCATTTCGACGACAACTGGCTTTGATTGAGTCACAAATCATGTCAAGCTGTTTCGTGCATTTCCCATGCTGTCAAACATTAAAAGAAGAAGTGGATTCCCCATTCCCGCACGAATTTGCAGGTGATATATTTTCTGAGCTCAAAAAACAGTTCCAGCGATGTTTTCCAGATCTTGATGCAAGTGCAGAAGACATTTCCAGATTTGAAAATCAATTTAACTGTACAATTGAGGAACTTCCACCTAACCTTCAATTGGAAGTGATTAATCTGCAGTGTGATAACATGCTAAAAGGCAAATTCCAAGAGAACAATCTAACAGAATTCTATAAGTGTCTTCCAAGTGATGAATATGGTGAATTAAGATCATATGCTCGAGGTTTGATATCTGTATTTGGTAGTACCTACCTGTGTGAAAAGACATTTTCAAAGATGAAATATGTAAAATCTCAATACAGGTTAGCATTAACAGACGAACATTTGCAATCAATTATGATGACAGGGAGTACTAAAGTTGACCCCCAATTTGAAGAAATTTTATCTCAAAAAAAAAAAATTCATTCTTCCCGTTAGTAGCCTAAAGCTGTGTTTTAACTGTACCGACCTGTAAAGATCCTCGAGTTTGCCTCTTGGCCCTCAGAGTGTAATGTATTTTATATTTGGCCCTTTATGAAAAATCTTTGCCGACCTCTGATCTAGACAGTGCATAAGGCTGCTGACAGTCTTTGCATTTCTTGGTTTTGGGCCCATCCAATTTCCAATCCTATCTTTTTGGCACTTCCAGATTGATTGAATGTCTGACAATAATTTTGTGTTAGCCCATAGAAAATTAACATTAACATAATTACATAAGCAAGACTTAGACATTGTTCTAGATTTTGTATCTCGTGAATGTTTTAAATTGGATATCAAAACTGGAAGAGAGTAAGTCACAAGCTTTCACAAGTCACTTTCAAAGTCAAATTAAACAGCAGATAGTGACAAAAACACATTGTAAAAGGAAGAACCAGTCCAACTAAGCAAAACATTCAGGAATAAGACACACAGCAAGAAAGAACACAACACATGAATTTTAATAGAAAATTCACACATGTTACAGACACACAAGCAGACATGCCTTATCATGTAGCAAACATTAGTTTTCCTTTGTTACAGCTACTGTATATCACAGCCGGAACTACGAGTACAAGAGGTATAAATCTAGGTCAAGTTTTTCAGAGATACCCTGGGAGGGGTTGCAGCGGCAGCATTTGAAGCCCATGGCGACAGTTCAACCCTTGTTACCGCAAGTGAATCAGGATATTGTACCCCAGTGGCTGATAGATCACTTCGTGTCCATGACACACCCTTCACAGGCTAAGAAGACTGACTATGAAATAGTACACTATTGTGCCTTCAGTTTACCAGCTGTAGCTCTCACTCTGGGGCGAGACAACTGGGTTCTGCTCAAGGATGCACATGAGACATTGGCTTCTCACATGCAGGTAATATTTTACAATTTGCATGAATTTTTGTGCTTCCTGATTGCAAGAATGAAATATGATAGGCAGGAAGGTCTGTGGGTAAGTAGAGCAAGAATTGGATGGGACAGATATATGAGTAAGGGTTGGGTCTTGTCCTGTCCATGCGTCACAACTGTCTGTGATCTTGTCCATCCCTCCAGCAAGACTCAGATGGAGTGTCTTAGTAGTCACACGTTTTCCATGAAGTACCGTCCCAGATGACAAAATCTTAAGTAAGCTATGGCCTCACAATTACAAAGGATATGTGAAGCTGATTTATCTTTCTCCGGGCACGTTCTGCAAGAGGGATTGTTGGTTAATCCCAGTTTTAAAAGATATTCTTTCAGGTAACTGTTCAGGACATAGTCATATCACCTGTCATAGCTAGTTTCTTAGATTCAACAGTCATTTTCGAATAAGATTTTTTTCAGTTTGTTTATTCAAAAGATTTATAAGTAAATTTGTATATAGAAACCAAACATTTGTACTGCGGATGTTTGGCTGCATGCCAGGCTCGGGGTAAGCAGTAACCAGGTTGCGTCTCTCACCACTCAGAGAGTCTGGTCCATTAATGCATAATAAACTCCATGACTTTATTCCGCAAGTGAACTATACCGACCAAGCATCCGCTGCTTGTCAGTGAAGTTAGTGCCAGCTTTAGCAGATAGAGGGTGTTGCATGGTCAGCGCAACGAATCTCCACAGCCGTTAATTTCTGTCTTCTATACCATAGCCACTATTTCCTTGAAGTAGTTCCTCATTTATCCTCACGGTGCTGAGTGGACCCCGTTCCAGTCCCACTACTTCTCAGAAAATCTGGTAGCGCAGGGGAATCGAACCCAGACCTCTGAATCTGTAGCCAGGCACTCTGACCACTAGACAACAGATGTGGTCAAGGAAGTAAAATTAGATTAAATTTGTAATTTGTGCAGGTGCATTTTTATGTGTGTGCACTGGGAGGGTCAGTTTGAATTAACATGGGTTCAGATCAGTGAGATTCCACTAAATTTTACATCCCAGTCATGTGTGTACATTCAAGGATAGTTTCAGAAATCAAATCATAATTCTCATGTCTCATGTAAGACTAAAGTGAAGGCTGTGTCCACGTTAATTGACCGTTGTTACCATCTGGATTGTCGGACTTCTCAATCTCTCCATATATACAGCAGTATAAACCCTGTAGTTGGAACAGTCTTCTGAAATAAATGAAGATTGTCATAAATTCTAACAACCAAATTTTCATTAATGCTTAATGTAATGTAACTGGCGTGCTTTGTTGCCAGATTATTTTTTTCAGAAAATGTCGTTCACCACATGAAAACAAAGTAGGTATTGGGGAATTCTGTATTGTGTTCTGTTCCCTCACCACTTTAGCAGTCTGGCAGCTGTGAATGTTCTGCATAATTTTACTTATGTTCATAGTGGACGGTGCGGCTTACAGTAGCCTCCAGTATTCATGAGCTGGCTGTGATCCTCGGTGAGGACTTGGCAACCAAGGACCTTGTTCCAGTGTTCAATGGCTTTATCAAGGACTTGGATGAAGTTAGAATAGGTGCCCTGAGACATCTTGCTGAGTTTCTAAAGGTATATCATATCTTCCATTTTGGTTCTGTTTACCAGTATTCTTCCAGGGTTTTTTTTTTCAGTGTTTATTAATTATTGGCTACTCATTATATTGTGTGCTTATGATGCCTTTTCTTTTTCATACCTGGCTGTTTTCTTCCTCATCAGAAAATTTGATTGTCCTTTATTTCATGTTATGTTTAATGATACTGCCAGTAACTTAGACTGTATAGTATTGTAACGTGTTTCGTTACTGAATACGCTGTAGAGATCGTTAATTGGTTTATTTAACAACCTGCAAATCACGGCTACAATTATAACAATATTGCGGGGTTTCACAATTTATAACCCTATTCGCAAGTCAAATCACGCTATTATCAGTAGACTACACGTTTCACAGTACGGGAGCTATACAAGTGTCACTCTGTTACACACTTCCAATTAATTCTCAGTTACACACACGTCCGGTACTTCTTTCCGTGACTGCTGCTGTATTTCAACTCGACTCGCAGGCTGCTGCCTTGAGAACTGTTGATAACACACTAACTCTCTCCGGGGACAGCTACACGTTAACTCGACTACAACTGAACTTGCCGACGGCCACATTACAACTTGACTCGCAGGCAGCGCAGTTCTCTTATATAGGAGCTGTGTGGGCCTGTTACGTAGCAACGCTGTTACCTCACGCCATCTTACGTTACCGTGCGGAGGGGGGGATGACGGAGCACTGACTCACCCGCCGCATCACTGCTGGTGGGGGGGGGGGGCCTCCGTTGCGCAACATGTCACAGTATCAAATGGTAGGATCATAATGATGAATACTGAGCTGGAAAAAGTATGGAAGGAAGTGGCCATATTCTAATTAAAGGCATTGTCTCTATGTTTATGTGGAGAAATGAGAAAAGTGAAAAAAAAAAGGTCATTCTAGATAGTATCATGAGGCCTTCCTGAATTCAAGGCAGAAGCATTATTCTCAGCTTGTTAACCTTTCCATCGTACTTTTTATCATCCATGCAATGATTGTTTCAAATGCATGTGTTCAATTCTTCCAAGTTCCTGAAGGTTTTGAGGATTTTGGTGCCTTAACTGCCAACCCTTTATATATAATGAGACTGACACAAATCCTCTGTGTATTTTATATTTGTTATGTGTTCTTATAAGCTCTTCACATCCTACAATCATTTTTTTACTAGCTTGGTTCCATGGAATATGTGTGTGTCTGTATTCCTCTCCATTGGTAAATTTATCTCCCTGGCTTACAGACAGATTTTAATGAAATTTGGTTCTGTAGAGCTGGGCTTTCTAAATAGAGAGTTAACCAATTTTATTCTGTTTTGATATGTATGTGTCCCTCCATACCCCCTCATTCAGAGAAGCTGTTAATCATCTTCCTACTGTCAGAACATTAATCAAGATTTATATGTAAAAGTAACAATTCCAGTTGTTTTGTATGGTCACAAAATGTGAAATAATAGCTTAAATTACAACTATTTGAAAAGAAAAGCTTAGGTAAATATTTGGACCAGGATGAATTAAGTTTAGAAATTAGGATGTACATAATGAGGAATTTTGTGGCTTATACTGGCCACCTATATTAGAACAGTAAAGCCAAGCAGGTTACCATGGGCTCAGCATGTATCTCAGATGGAGACAAGAAATGCTAATAAAATTTTTGATGGGTGATGTCTTGGAAGGCGAAGAAAACAGTGGAAGGATAATACAAGATAGATCTTATTATGAAGATGGTAGATGGCTGTAACTGATTTGCTATTCTTTCCAGTGGCAGTGAGCTGTTGTTTAATAAACATTAAGATCACCGAGGGATTCAAAATCTCAATATTTGTGCCCTTAGGTTGTGTATGATATGTTGAAGTTGGTTTTACAATTATATTAATCTCATATTTTAGCTCCTACGGCCTCCAGATCGAAATGTATACCTTCCTCGCCTATCAGAATTCTTGGTGACAGACAATGAATGGAACTGGAGGTTTCGTGAAGAATTGGCAGACCAGTTGTTGGCTGCTGTGTCTCTCTTCACTCCAGAAGACACCAGGAAACATCTGACTCCCATTGCCATCTCACTGTTGCTTGATAAGGTGGCAGCTGTGCGGCAGGTTTCATTGTGTCTCGTAAGTATGATTTTCCTTCCCACTGAAATGTCAGCAGGAATGCTTAATGTGAAAACCACCACAAAGTCTGAAGGTTTTCTGAAACATCTGAAGTAAAGTATGTCATGCAGTATACAGTATCCACCTTTTTCTTTTGGACCTGTAAAACTTGAAATGACTGGGGCAGCACATAATACAGATTTTTTTTTTTTAATCAAGGATGCATGCACAGTAATCTCTCTGTTATGTGGCATGTATGGGTAATAGAGTGTGCTGGGGTCATGAGTGTGCCATTTGCATGATGAAGGCACTTAACAGATCCCAATTTTCACACTTCAATCTTTCACTATCTTCATTTTCTCTCTTCAAAATCAAAATGATGTGTTTTTGCTCTAGCTCTTCACCTCTTAAAGGTGTAGGCAGATACTCCTTTAAAATGTCAGTATTCACCATCTGGGCTATGTAGTTTCACAACTGAACACACCACACTGAAAACCTCAAAACTTTTACCAAAAAATATAGGTCTCATAAATTTGCTAATGAAAAGTTTTGTGTCCTATAAATATTGCAGGTGACAGAACTCGTGAAGCATGTGTCTGCAGATCCACTTTTGCTACGAGGCCTAATAGGAGAACTCGCAGAATGGTTTGCTCATAGTAAGCGATGGATCCAGCGCCAGACATTCGCACTGCTTTGCTCCCAGCTTGTTACGAAGCGGATCCTCCTGGAGGAATTGTTCGCACGAGACATCTTGCCACATCTTCTGGATCTCAGCTGGGATCCTGTGCCCAATGTACGGCTTTGTGTGGCTCGTACTCTTGCCACCAACATAATGGCTCAACGTGAGTGCACTATATATATTTGGCTTTAGTGCCAACCTCTCCTTCATGCGCTATACTCAGTTTTTCAAGGTGCTCTGCCACAGGCTCTATGGCGTAGTGGTCAGAGTTCCTGGCTACATATTCAGAGGTCCAGGTTCGATTCCCCGACACTGCCAGATTCTTCTGAGTAGTGGTGGGTGTGGAATTGTTCCACTCAACCTCGTGAGGATAATTGAGAAGCTTTTTCAAGGAAATAATGACTCCGATCTAGAAAACAGATTAATGGCCATGGGGATCCATTGTGCTGACCACGCAACACCCTCTATCCACAAAAGTTGGCACTTACTTCACTGACAAGCAGCGGTCTCTCATTCGGTATAGTTCACTTGCGGACTACAGGTCATGGGAATTTCTTCTTAAGTGAGTTGGAAATCATGAAAATTGATGCAGTTGATGGATCTTTAAATGAATGCTGTTGCTGTTTGTTTGACTGAAATTAAGTTACTGCATAGTGTGATACTCAACTTTAGTCCACGTTAAGAAATAGTCATCTCCTTTCACTGCATCATTGGTCCATGAATATGTACCCTGTTTAGGTTTTGTTGAACAATATATAAAGAGTTCTGTCTTCTGGGATATAACGCTGTGTAGTCCATGAAAGTCAACCAACATTTCAGAGGAACATGTCTCCTCCTCCTTCATGGTGAAAGAATAAGCCAAGCAAGAAACCAGCATGGAGGCAGGTGGCAGGCAGCTTGTTCCTTGCTCGGCTTATTCTTTGACCCTGAAGATTGAGATAACATGTTCCTCTGAAACATAGGTCGAATTTCAGTGCACTACATTGCGTTATATCCAAGAAGATAGAACTGTTCATAACCACTTCTGTGAGAATCATATGATATTTATACACATGCTAATTCGTCAACTGGGCCTGAATATGAATGCTGTTTGCTTACAGAATTCTTCTCTAGTGCAGAGAATCCACACCATGAGGTGCTAATACAAGTGCTCAAGAGACTGCAGGGAGATAATGACAGGGATGTTCGCTACTTTGCTTCACTGTTTCCTTCAAGTACTGGCATTGAGGATGTATGTAAACTGTAACACATTAAACCTAAAAGTAAGAAGTTCCTTTGCTGACTGAGCAGGTTCATGCATGCACACTTCTGGCTTGTACGTATCCAGTTTGAGCTCTCGGCCCAAGTCTCCAGATGGGTGAAGTATAGACTATGGCCACTTCTTTGCCAATCCTTCAAAGTGTACTGAAGGTGATATCCCCAGGTCTTATTTGGCCTTAAATGACCTGCAGTATATACAGTATGGTTAAATAACCGTTAATCCCTATTGCTGAAGCATAATGCCATAAAGATGTGTGTGAAGTAGGTTAAGGCTCACACATTCTTAACTCTCAAGGTTGTGGGGCCCACCCAGCCTCCCATCCAATGGGTATGGGAGGCTCTTTCCCCAAGTGTAAAGTGGCTGGGGTGTGAAGCTTACCACTCACCTCCAACTAGTGCCGAGGTCAAGAAAATGTGGATCTATACAGCTACTCGTCCATACATCTTCATGGCATAGTGCTTAATTAGTTAAGCACAGGGACAACTTTATCTTATCGAGTTTGCCGACAAGATAAACCTTCAAACTGCACTTCGTTGTCCGCGTTTTTCATAAAATGATAGGCATCTGGTGTGTTGGCTTTTGCACACAGAGAAAATGAGTGGTCACCTTCATGCTTGACCACTTACCCCTGGGGCATCTGGTGTGTTGGCTTTTGCACACAGAGAAAAATGAGTGGTCACCTTCATTATTATATTTAAGCATCCTGTTACACTCACACAATATATATGAGACAAACTCCGTCTTAAGTGCAACAATTTAATTGTAGTTCTTTCTTCTTCCCTTCCTCCACACTACATGTTTCGGCCCTAAGCTTATTAAAGATAAGCAGCGGCACACACAGAGAGAGCCTACACAGAACAATACCTGAACAGCGATAAAACAAGAAGTGACCGCTGCAGCACTATAGACATAGGGCGTGTACCCTGAGAAAATTTTAATTTTAAAAAATTTGGAAAAAGAAAAAGAACAGAAAATTTATAGACATTTTAATTTGAATTGAAGTTTTAAAAAAGTGCCAATTTTAGAAATCAAATTGACGCGTGTAGGTTAACAAAGATTTTATACATACATACAATTGGAAAGACTAAATTTTAAAACTACGAGCAGTGTAGCAACTACGTAAGAATACACACCTGATGATGGCCATTTAGGGCCGAAACATGTAGTGTGGAGGAAGGGAAGAAGAAAGAACTACAATTAAATTGTTGCACTTAAGACGGAGTTTGTCTCATATAAAAAGGTCACCTTCATGCTTGGCCACTTTGCACCCGGGGGAAAGATATAAAAATTCTTTATTGACAGGTTTTTCTTTCAATTCTCATTTTGCAAAAAAAGTCTTGAGGTCATGGCACTGCTTTGCACAATAATTGCCCCACAGGCCTGGAGAACCAACTTACCATGGAAATTTACAACCAGACAGTAGTGTAGTTGGTTGAAACACTATGCTACAAGCTGGAAGGTCACAGGTTTGAGTCCCAGTGAGGTGGATTTTTTCAATTTTCATAATCGTTCCAGCTGCAATATGTTCCTGGGGTCAACTCAACCTGTAACAGAAATGAGTACCAGGAATCTTCCTGTGGGGTAAAGGGCAGTTGGCACGTAAGGCTGACAACCTCACCGCCATCTGCGAGCTGATTGTCTAGAGAAAATGTGGGAGCCTCAACATCTCTCACTACTATGGGCCTTCATGGACTGTTACAGGGATAGCTTTACCTTTTCTTTTTTCTCTCTCTCTCTCTTCCCCCCCCTGTTATCTCTTGTGCCACCATTACTATAATTTCTTTACTGATACATAAAGGAGATAAAACATCCTACTACATTTGTACATTATCTCTTAGTATTACTACCTTTCTAGAGTTTGTCATTTGAATGTTTGAAACCAGGACACATTTCAAGGACTGGACCCATAGCTCCTGGCACACTGAGCTGAGTAGGTGACACTACCCTAGGGTGGAAGGAGGTTAGTCTCCCACAGTATTGTGTTCTGTTTAGAGCATTGTACGATGGACAAAATCCAGAAAGCTGGTAGTGCTAAGTCTAATACACCATGGTTACAACCCTTCAGAATTGATTTCAGTATTTATTTTTCTATTTTTTCAGAGTTCCACAGCTGAAAATTCATGAAGAAACGAAGTAATAGCCCATTTGTTACCAATAATTCCTTACCTGTTCAAAATACCTTGACTTCACTTGTTCCCTATTGTACAAATTATGATGCAAGCTGGGTAGTGAGTACAATTCCTCTTGCACTTCAAGCTCAAGATGTACACTAAGTAACATGTGAAGTTATTGTATTTGTGGGAACAGCTATATAAGAAATACTTTAATACTTGTATAAGTTTAATGTATATGGTATGTTTTAGTTCATAAAGGAATGAGTTTGTTAATAAATTATTGTTAAAGTACTGATTGTGTAATATATATACCAAGTGACATATTCGCATGTCACGTGACATTTTGTACATCTCTAATGATTATGTATGTAATAATTTTGTTGTTCAGTTTTGTTTTCTTATTTATATAACATTTCCCTTTGCTGCATCCCAAATGTTAAAGCCTTCACCCGAAATCTTATTTCAAGTGTGGGGAAAGCTGCTTCATTCCTTCCACGTGTGGGTAGTCTGCTTCATCTTAAATGCCTTCTCATTATTTTAAATGTGCATTTATGGTAAATACTTAAAAATTTCATTTCTTCCTCACGGGACATACAAGTGTCCGTCTATTACACAGACATATTGCTTAATGCACTTCAAGGAAACAATAACTGTTTATTCTTAGAATCACATGAAATGCGTAGATATACTCTGTGGGCAAAGTGCTGAGTTCCTAATATTAAAGCAGGCAGTAAGTATAGTAACAAATGGCCTCCGTAGTCTAGAGGTAACGTTCCCACCTCATGACTCGTAGTACGCGGGTTCAAATACCCGGCGGAGGTCGTCGAATTTTTAAGGGCGGAAAAATTCAGGGAACAAGTCCTCTGGGAGGGACTTTAAGCCGTGGGTCCCATGTCGTTGCCTTACGGCACGTAAAAGAACCTCATATCTCCAAAGGAGGTCACTGAGCCAAATTACGGACGTTTCCCACCCAACAGCAGTCTCTAATACCTCTGGTAGATGGGGGAAGCATTATAGATACCTCTCAGCTAGTAGAGCCGGTCTCGCTGGCTGGGCGGGACTGATTGTAAGCACAATGGACCAATACAGGTCTAAGTGCATGGGGAAACCCACCCTCTCCAATAACTAACTAACTAAATATAGTAACAGCTGTAATTTAAGGGATTAGTGCAATAAGGACAGATAAGTTTTGCTTTGAGAGTCTTGGTCCATGATTTTCTTTGCATTGTAAGATCTGAGGTCTTTATGGCAGTATGAACTGCAGTGTCATCAGGTGGTACTGGGAGAGGTGTCCAGCATTCAGGATTCTATGAACTCCACGGAGGTGAAAGCCTTGGAAAGCTCAAGAATTTCCTGACAATTTATGGAACCCTGCTGTTTATTACTGTGTTGACAAAAGCTCACCTCACCTGTCCTGAGCCAGATGAATCCAGTCCATACCTATATCCCAAAGATTTACTTTAATGTTATCCTCCCCTCTTCATCTACTTATTCGCACCAAAACTCTCTGTGCATTCCTTTTCTCTCCCATGTGTAATACATGCCTTTCCTATCTCATCGTCCTTGACTTGTTCATTCTAATATTTGATGAAGAGTGAAAGGTATGAAACTCCTCATTATGCTGTTTGTACCAGACGTCTGTTATTTCGTCCCTCTTGGGTTCTGTTCTAGCACCGCACACTTTCAGAAATGGAGGATTTTCACCGTGTTAGTGTGATGTTTCTTAATACAGCTGTACTACCCCCCCCCCTCCCCAAGGAGTTGGCCTCCTCCCAGCCAGCCCAGAAGGTTGATGATTAAGATTGGCCTATTGCTCATTGCTAACTACTGCTTATTAAGGTAACATATACTCGATGCAGGGCTAAAAGTGATCCATAAATAAGGATAGATAATCCAAGTACCGGTGGAAGGACACTACAGTAATCCGTCTCCAACCATGGGATGTATCCCTGAAGAATGCTGGAGTTAAGAAGACAAATTTAAAATTATGTTTAGAAGCATGTGCCAGAAAGTGTCACACAATAGAAAGCTGGTTTCAGATGTTATTTCCCATAAATGTTGATCTCTTTGTGCAGAAGCCACAAATTGTTTCAATGTCTACACATTAAAGCTGCAGATAGCAAAACTGGAAACAAAAGGAAAATGACAGATACTGAAAATGTTGGTGATAAGGAACTGGTGTGATCTTATAGAAGTGTATTGTGAGAGAGTACTGAATTCATCTTGCTATGTATACATTTCAGTGGCAGGGTTGTGTGTATTCACAGTAACAAACTTGGGTTTCTTTAAAATTTGGAAATTTCTTAGCCAACTCTTCAAGAAAATTCCACAACATCCTTATTAGTTTCTAATAGGTGCTAATGACTGACATTTATTTACTTAATGCATCATAACAGAAACCAGGAAGGAACTTGCAGTTTATTTAGTGACTGCCACTAATACAGACTATATGGTAGGATGATCAGTGAATAATAAATCAGAAATTTTGTGGTAGGAAGTGGTCATTGCCCGATGAAAGATACTGTTTCGGAATTTGTCTGTAGGGACTGAGGAAGGAGTAATACTGCCATGTTCCACGCAAATTTGATATAAAATCCACGTGTGAGGGTCCTGACAGTGGTGAATAGAACAGGATGTTATAGCATACAGTCTGATCTTGTAGTCACAGCATTTTAATTTCAAGGGGACGCCACTTTTTTTTTTCCAATCTGAATACAAGTATTGAAAGAAATGGGAGTTATGCAAGATTGAATCCGTGGGTTCATAGGGCTTTTATGATGGACCGCCTCTGTGGTCTAATGGTCAGAGTTCCTGGCTACAGGATTCGATTCCCGGTACTACCAGATTTTCTGAGAAATAAGTGGATCTGGAATGGGGTCCACTCAGCCTTGTGAGAATAATTGAGGAGCTACTTGAATGGAAAAGTAGTGGCTGCAGTCTAGAAAACCGAAATTAACAGCTATAGGGATTTGTTGCGCTGACCACGCAACACCCTCTATCCATTAAGTTAGCACTGACTTTGCTGACAAGCAGCAGTCGCTCGGTTGGTATAGTTTGCTTGCGTACTAAAGCCACGGAGATTTGCTTTATGATTAGTTTTTAACCTAGAATTCGAAAATGAAAAATTGGTGACTTCCTGACTTAGGATAGAGCCTGTGTAATTACAGATATGACTTAATCCTTTCATATTCACAGTAGAAAAATATTTGTGCCTATCCTGGGCATTCATAACAAGTCAGACATAATTTTGTCACACGGTGTTCTGAGATTTTCCACTTGTCTCCTTGGCAGTGTGTTGACAGTAAAATTTCAAAGTAAATACTCCCTTAGAACTGCCAACTCCACTCAGAAACCCTACCAATAATTTTGTAGTATCTCATTTGGTGTGTTGGGTGTAAATTTGCATTTATTTAATAATGTTGGAGGTTGGAATATGTGCTTATGTGGATAGCATAGTTTTGCTATACATGGATTTCTGGTGTTCATTTGCAGCTTGGCATTGAATACTTGCTTTTGAAATACACTACAATTTGTACTGTTGGTGCCCGTTTTCTTGAGAAACAAAACCAACTAATCACTGAGTTAATATTGTGGCAATACCTGAACTGACAAAATTGCCACATCTCATGCATACTCAGAACTGAAATTTGGAAGTACAAGGTGGTTCAAATATGACTGGGACTGATTTGTGTGTAAACAAGTCGCACTGCGCAGCAGCTGTGCAACCTTGAGATAATAAAACCACAACCTCCACCCTCCCTCCTGTTCGGGTTAGAACCTGTTCAGTCCTGTCTGGGAGTTGCTAGGGTGACGAGCGAACAGAAGGTACCACAGAGTGTGAAACAACGCACTGTGATCAAATTCCTCAGAGAAAATGTCCCATCCCCTGAAATTCACCACAGACTCCAACAACAGTATGGGTAAGAGTGTCTCTCATGGACCCGTGTGTTTGAGTGGTGTAAGTGCTTCAGAGAGCAGAGAGCGCGTGGAGAATGAACCGCATGATCGTCAGCTGCAAACATCCATCACCGAGCCAAACATTGATCGTGCAGACACACTTATTCATGAGAACAGGCACATCACTATCAAGGAACTTGGAGCAATGCTGTCCATCAGTGTTGGTAGTGTAGAAGACATCGTGAAATACCACCTGCACTATCGCAAGGTGAATGCACAGTGGGTACCACGCACTTTGACGGACGTGAACAAAATGATGCACATGCAAGCTGTCAGTCGTCTCCTACAGCAGTTTGAAGACGAAGGTGAAGCATTTTTTAAGTCTATACTGACCACCGATGAAATGTGGGTGCACTACTTCATTCCCGAGTCCCAGCAATCATCACGCGAGTGGCGGCATACCAGTTCTCCCAAACCCAAGAGAGCGCGGAGGAGCCGTTCTGCAGGAAAAGTGATGGCAACGTTCTTCTGGGACTGGCAGGGGATTATCCATGTAGACTTTCTGACAGATGCCAGAACAGTCAATGCAGCTTATTACTCAGACCTCCTGGCAACAGACGTGAAGGAAAAGATCCAATCCAAGTGGAAGACAGGTGGAAACTGGGTAGTCTTCCTTCAAGACAATGCATGCCCCCATATGGCCAAAACAGCAATGGAAACCCTCTGGAAATTGAAATGGAACCTTCTGACATCCGCCGTACAGTCCCAATTTGGCCCCAAATGATTTCTACCTGTTCGGAAGGCTCAAATCAGACTTGCAAGGCATAAGGTTTGTGGACAACGCCATCATCCAGACTGTTCAGGAGTGGATACGCCGCCAACCATAAAACTTTTTTGAAAAGGGCATCAGGATGCTTCCAGAACATTGGAAAAAATGTGTTGACTCTGGAATGGAGTTATGGTTTTTAAAAAAAAATCAGTCCCGGTCATATTTCAACCACCTTGTATTATTACACATGCATAATTGATTCAAGATTTTGTGGTACTGAAAAAAGATTATGTATGATTTGAAGTTTTCTTAGCAAATGAATGCACTAATCCCAGACAATCAGTTGTGTTACCATTGAATTAAAAACCAGCATTTTAGAAATACCTGAATCATAGTTAAAAATGTTTCACAAAATAATGTAGGTTTACTATACTGAGTTTCATGGAAATTTGCCCAGTTCGGCTACCATTACATATATAAAAACTTTTTAAAATAATTCATGAATTGTTTGATGTTTTTGATTCTTCTATCAAACTATGTCAGAGGAAGACATGTAGAATAAAGTCGTGACAATTCAAAAGCACTTAAAAGTTGTGCTGAAAACTGAGCAATTGCAATATTTCAA